GCTAGTACACGGTGCTCAAATTTTAGATTTTTGGAACCAATATCAGGAGGGTTTTCAGACAAAATACTTTTTGCTTCTTCAAACGACACTTCAAAACTATCAGGCCAAGAATGTTGCACAAAGAAACTATACCCAACAAACTTAGTTGCAAAAATCTTTTCAAACTGATAAGAATCAAGAATAATGCGATTTCCCAAAACCATGGATTTTGAGTCATCTTTATCATTCACCAATAAATTCATATAAAACATATGCACAGGCTTTTTATAGATAGTGTCACTACCAGTTATAAATAAGGAGAGGTTTTTGAGTTTCAAACACAGAGATGACATCACAGTGAGAGTTTTTCATATATTTTTAACTTACAGTGCGACCATAGGCATTCGGCTTCCCTTTGTAGGCAACAAATTTGCTTTCTCTTTGGGACTATAGAAGTTCATCTTGTCTTCAGGCCCAAATTCTATGCTTTCTGTTTTTCCTCTCTTTTGAGATGACTATTTGGGGATGGACTCCTTTGGATATTTTCAGCCTTCTTTTGAGCTATTGGGATATCTTCCTGAGAATCACTAGACTCATCCTCGAACTGTTGATGATCTGTACTTTCTGATGAATCAACATCCACCGGATCATCAATTTGATGGTTTTTCTTGAAGCGATGGCTTATTCTAGGTATGGAGGAAGATGGAGAGGGTTTAGAGAGAAGCTTTCTTTGTGATAGTGGGAGGTATGAATGAGAAGAGGGGTTAAAAGGAGGGTGAGTGATGATGAATGGACACCTCGATTCTGGAGAGACGTGTGAAAGACAATTGAAAAGTTGCCTTCTGCAAGCCCGCTGTCAATCATATAATTAATGCGCATTCAAAGTAATCAAATACACTTAGAGATATTTTAGCCGAAAATCACGAAGAATACTTATAGAATATTTTCTAAAATAGGCAAATTTAGAGAAATTAAATGGGAATCAAGCAATACCAATTTTATCACGAAGAGAATAAAATCTCTCTTCAAGCAGTGGTTTTGTGAAAATATCTGCTAACTGATTTCAGTATTAATAAATTCTAACATAATGTCACATTTTGCAACATGATCACGGATAAAATAATGCTTAGTCTTAATGTGCTTAGCCCTAGAATGATGCATATAATTTTTTGAAGGGCAAATAACACTAGTATTGTCACACATAATTGGAACATAATTAAACACAATTAAGACCTAAATCATAGCTTAACAGTTGATGCATAATCTATAGGACTTGAGTGCAGAAGTTGCATATAGCCAGATATTCTACTTCAGTAGTAGATAAGGCAACACAACTTTGTTTCTTGTTGTGCCAAGATATAAAGGATTTCCCATGTAATTAGCACATTCCACTTGTACTTTTTCTATCAATATGGTCACCCGCAAAATCTGTATCTGAAAAACCTTTGAGATCAAAGACATTTAAGCTTTCCTACCATAGTTCATAGTCGACTTTCCCTATCAGATATCTGATAATACGTTTAATAACAGTCAAGTGGGTTTTTATTGGGAGCTGACTGATATCTTGCACATTTGTAAACACTAAACATAATAAGGTCGACTAGCTGTAAGATAAAGTAGAGATCCAATCATACCTCGATACATTATTTTATCAACACTCTTACCATCTTTATCTTCATCAAGGGTGGTTGATGAACTCATAGAAGTCCTTATGGCCTTAGCATTAGACATGCCAAACTTCATGTAAAGCTCTTTTGTATATTTTGTCTCACTAATGAAAGTCCCTTTCTATAATTGCTTGATTTATAGCCCAAGGAAGAAGGTTAATTCTCTCATCATACATATTTCAAATTCTCCTTTTATGATGTTTGAAAAATTCTTGCATAACACTGGGGTTACTACTTCCACAAAAGTATTATCTACATAAATTTGGATAATTAAATTACCTTCAGTTGATCGTTTGATAAAGAGAGTAGTATTAATATTACCTCTATCAAACCCATGTTTGACTAGAGATGAACTTAGCCTTTCATACCAAGCTTTGGGAGCTTTCTTTAACCCATACAAGGCTTAGATAACTTGAAGACATGATTTAAAAGGATTCATTTACAAGTCTTGGGGGTTGCTTAACGAACACTTCCTCAGAGATAAAATTGTTAAAGCAACCAGTCTAGCTTTATTTGAGCGAGGTTTCCTAGTAGTCAATTCTGTTTGAGCAATTAGGCAATATTTGTGAGTCCTTACTCTGATACCAATTGAAAGTACAAGAGGAGGGATGAATTATAACCGATTTTAAAACGTAGTTGACTAAGAAAGGAATTAGTCGACTAAACTTCACAGTACGATTAATTACAACAGAAGTAAATTATGCAGAATAAAAAAATGAAGGAGGCACATCAATTTTATACTGGTTCAGTACTGGTGTGGTACCTACGTTTAATTCCCTTGGGTCACAAGGGTTCTCCTAGATCTTTAATAAGTCTTTACAACAGTGATGATTTTAGTACATTCACTACCAACGATATTCAACAACAATGTTTGTCTAACTTTTACACAATTCTTGTTTTATTTTCTAACTCTTCCCATCTTTTGCGACACTTGTAGACTCAAGAATACAATGGTTGTACTAAGAATTAGAAAGGTATAGAAACATATGTTAAGTTGCATCAGCTTCCTTATCCTTCTACTTCTTCTTTAATAGTACTCAATGAGGCTTCTGATTTCTCTTTTCTAGGATTGCAAAGATCATTATTTGGAAGTCTTTGCTTGTGAGGCATAGTCTTCTAAAAGTAGGACCCAAGGGTAGCCCCTGAATCTAGCTTGAGAGGTATGACCAGATTCATTTTCAATTTAAAGTTTAGCTCCTCCAATTAACTACTCTTAAGAGCTTCCGCAAATTTCCCTTGATTGGCTCTCTTTCCTTCCTTGCATGCTCGAGAATATTTTGCTCATTTAATTGATTGTTTTTCCTTCCTTGTTACTTATTTGATTGATTCTTTTTCATTCTGGTATCCATTTAATATGGAGTTTGAATAACATAGTTGTTGGCTCCCTCTGATATACTTATACGATTTTCTTTTCTTTCATGTATTCATGAGAGCCGTTGCGAATTTACTCATAAAGTGGAATGACATTAGTCAAGGTGCTTTTAATTATTGATCATTATTAAAATTCTAAATCTAATAGTAATGAGTTGTGGTGTCATATAGTCCATACAAAGTTATCATAAATTGAAAAAGAGTGACATAAAATTAACAAATTAGTTACATTATACACAACTAAAAAAACAGCTGATTTGCGACCGAAAAAATTAGTCAGAAATTTTCGACTGATTTGGTCGAAATTTTCAAAAATAATATTTGTTATATTTTTTTAATTCTATAGACTATTTTTTCGGCAACATTGGTCGCAACATTTAGCACAAAAATCCGGAATAAAAGATTGTGACAGATTCAGTCAGAAACTAAAAGTCAAACAATTTTATTTGACCATTTGCGACTGAAATGAACGCAAATTTATTTAAATTTTGGTCAAATTATTTTTTTAAAGTTGCAACTAAAACGGTCGCTAGATTTCGATGGAATCAGTAGCAGATCTTTTTTAAAACCCTAGCCCCGCCCCCATTTCTTTCTTCTTCTCTTTTCTTTCTTTCTTTTCTCTTCTTCCTCCATTGAGACCCCCAGACCCCCCAGCCCGCTGCTCACCAGAAAAGGTACGTCACTCTCTTCCCTCTTCTTCCCCAACCCTCCTTTTTTTAAAACCCATCCCCTATATCCGCCCCCTTCCCTCACCCATTCGTTTTACCCAACCGCAGAAAAGATTTGTTTAATATCGAGTGTTGTTTGTTCTACTTTTTTTTTTTAACTTACATTTGTCATTTACAACAAATTAAATTTGTTTGACAATCATGATTTGATTTCGTTTTATCCTAGAGTTAACGAAATCAAGCCGTGTATACCCAACATAACATGTCGTAGATAAAATTAACAAGATTATAAGTTGCCCATCTGCTAGAAAGAATTGAATTTAGGATAAAGAAGTTCAATTTTCAACCATTCTGCTTTCTAACATATTCAAAAGGTGCCCTCTAAACATCACTAACTAAACGAAAGAAATGTTAACTATTGATCTGTACAAATTGGTTTGGGATATTATTATTATCATTTAGAATTGTTAAACTATTAAGAGAAATTTCATGGACGATGATAGCTTAGCCATTAAAGGACTTCTCTTTGCAAGTTTGTTCTACACTATATTTATTCAATGAAGGGTTCCCATATCAATTCCTTGTATAATGTTGTCCCCTCTTCATTTTAAATAGACTTTATGATACTAAAACTAATTAGATTCTTTAATGCATTGGATTTTTGGGATGCTTGAATGTACCTAAAAGAAAAGAAAATGTATTCTTCTCTCAATTGAAAATCGACCCATTTGGTTAATTGTTAGGTGTTTCTGATTTTATCACCTTGCCGTATTATTTGCAAGATGTGTTATTTGGTATGCATGCCTTAACTACATATGTATGGATAAGATGCACTTATTGTAGAAGATGGATCCCGGAGAGCGCAAGCCAAATCAAGAGGAGGGAGGTATACATCTACAAAATCTGACAATTATCATTTTGTAAACATGTGAAAACATCAAGTTAAAGGCATGACTGCAAAAGCTTGAAATAATTGGTTAACTTTTGCTTAATAATATTGTTTCTTGTCCAGTGCATTATTCAGAATATTTTCAGAGGTTAGGAATATTTGCGGGGAGTAATTATGAAGAGAATCACGGGATTTGTAAGATAAGGTATTATTTGGTTGAGCATGTAGTTAGTTTGGTTCCCTATGTGAACAGTAATAGAGGATATAATTAAATTTGAAACTATTTGAATTGCCATAGATGTATTAATATTTAAGCTTGAAGCTAAATTCACTTTTGAAATTGAGGTTAATACCTACCTATATGTGATTTTAACAATTTCGAAGTTTATGTATATGTGGAATTGTTAACTTTAGAGATGATTTGGAATTGTATTAAGTAGTTATAATTTAAAACCTTAGGTTTAAGTTAAAGAAGTTAAGCTTATTATCGCTTCCTAATTTATTACACAGATGGATTCTCGCGGTAAAAAAATAAAAAAATTTAAGAAGAAAAAACACATTTTACCTAGATCAAGTCAGCTTCCTCCACCTACACCAAATATGAGCCTTCCTCCTATGCCTCCTCGTCCTTCCATGCCAGCTTCACAGTCATCTGACTTTTTCAAAGTCCCTCCCACCTCTAGCTTGCTTTAGTATTACTCCATGCCTTCTCATGGTGGCTCAGCTTCGACCACCATTAATTTTATACCCACACCTCATTTTTCAGCTTCTTCCCGGCGTGATCCTGCTAGTCAGTTTGGTGGTTCACCACCGATTGCATCCCCGAGCCATCATAGTAGCCAGCATGGTACTTCATCTTTTGTGCCTCATACATCACCAACCCAATTATCATCTCCATCATCATCCACTCCAAGTATATCTAGAGGCTCTCATGCAGCTGCATCCCCATCAACCTGTACTTCTACAATTGTTGGTATAGTGAGACAGTATACTGGAGGGATTGTACAGTACCATTATCTTCATCGGCTGATTATCGTTCTCCATAGTGACGGGTGAGTTTTCCTTCAATTTCCTTTTAAAAACATTCAATAAAATTTTGCATATAATGATTTTAATGACATTTTATATGTTAAAATTAAATACAGGTTTTTGCCATCCTTTCAGGCCGCGCCTATGGTGATAGGATATATGAAGCTATTTTTTCATAAGCCTTGGAATTCTTGGAGACAGATACTGTACCAGATCAGAATGAATATGTGACAACAATTTAAGGTAAGAATAAATTAATTTTTATTAATACTTATCCTCATTCGTCTAATATTATTTATTCAATTTTGCAGGTTAGATGCGTATGGCAGCTGGCACTTGAAAATCTGGTGAATGATAACTTCGAGAAGAAAGCAAAGAAGCTGATAACAAATTCACATCATGCTGCTAGGAAAGGTGGCAATATGCCTAATTGGATAAGTGAAGATGTCTGGAATCAGCTCTTGGCGAAGTGGAACACCCCAGAGTAGAAGAAAAATAGTGAACAAGCAAAGGGAAACATAAGAAGAAGGACGACACAAGAGAAGGATGGATTGAACCGCGTGCTTGAGAGACATTTGTATGATCCCAACATCAACACTATATTATTTTTTTATTCTTGGTTTATTTATTTATATAACGTGTATTATTTTTATTTCAGGACAAATATCATATTGATCTTGATGCATGGAGACAAACTCAGCCTAAGAGAACTCAGCCGACCCCGGAGGATATGACTACAATTTGGACACAAGCAGCTGGTGGCGTGAATAAAGGTATAAATATTATGTAATTATCTATTTTGGTATAATTTGAAAGTTGCTTGTTTGTTTTCTTACTTCCTTTACTTTCTTTTCTTTATTTTTCGTGAAAATAATAAATAAAGGTCGAGTCTATGGGATTGGAGTACATCCATCCTCCAGTCATCCACCAACAACATTATTCACTAGGGCATCAGTTTCCCAAGAAGACATGGAAGCTATGCGTCAAAAAGTGGATCAAATATCGCAAGAATTTCAAGCAACTTAGGCTTTGATCCAAAAATTGTTAAAAAAGAAAAGCAAGGAAGGAGCTGCAATGGAATCTGAGTCTGAGTTTGAGGAGAAGACTGATTCTGAATAAGCTATTTGAATGTTTTAGAGTTAAAGTTAGAGACATGTTTAATTTATGTTTGATAGTTGGTTGTTTGATTAGTTGATTGAATTGTTATAAATATTACTGTTCATTTTGTAGTAAATATGAATTTTGGATGGTTATACTATGTTTTTGGATTGCTATATTAGGTTTTTGGTAAATTGTTAGGTGTTTAGTTGGTTGTTTTATTTGGCAGGTGGTGTAATTAGAAACACAACAGAATTCTGCTTAAAAATGCCCAGATTTGCGACTGAATCAGACGCAAATTTCACAAGGAATTACCCAGATTTGTGACTTTAGTCACAAATTAAAAATTTCTAACAAAATTTAATTAAGATTTGCAACTTAATCAGTCGCAAATGGAGAATTTCCGATATTTCAAATTAATTAATAATTAATATTTACGATTGTTTCAATCAGAATAATTAATTAAAAATTAATTTTCATTTTAATTTTTCGACGGAGTCTAATGTCCCCGCATTTTTCAGTTTGCGCAGAATCAGAATTAGTCTCCATTTGTGACTGATTCTGTTACAAATATATTGCGACCACGTGTTTTTCGACTAACACTTTTCAGTCGCAAATCGGTTAGAAAAATACGATTTGCGACTGATTTGACGGTCGCAAATTTGCTATTTTTTTTAGTATTGACACTATCGATGTATTATAACCTCTTGTAACAAATTAACTACTATGCCATTTGCAAGTTACTAATCTAAGTTACTGTTTTACAATCATAATAATTATTTTTTAGATGATCTAATAATATAAAAATACTTAAATAAAGCCTCCATGTTATATTTTTCTTGAATCGAAAGAGTTGAAGATTAGAGTAGGTGCTCAGTTAAGTCTATATACCATGCAACCAAAACGTTGACTTCTATTAAGCTGCTTACTGACAAAATCATTGGGCCAAATAGTGTATAACTAACTCAGACCCAAAATTTACTATACGAGTACTATTAGACGTCTCAAGTCTGATCCAAGCCAACAAGTGGGAATCCATGATTTTTCTTAACGTTCTCTTGGTCAAACAACTACTAAATATTTTAATATCCCATCCACATGTTGGACCATACCTTGAGAAATAAAGGGGAAAAAAAGTTTGAAAAGTGACCGTTAGTGTTAATTTTATTTTCATTACCGTTTAGTACTAATTAATCATTAGTTTGCCGGAAAAAACTAAATATTTGAAGTACGTGGACATATTGAGCATGTGAATTCCTGTCAGGCAAAAATTAATTGATCCAACGACTTCAAAAAGAAAATTGTTATATTTTGATCATCAAGTTGAAAAAGAATGCAGTTATTAGGAAGGGCGGTGGTTAGGTGATTAGGGAATTGCTAATACAATACTTCATGCTAGTCTCGTGCCAACAGATGATCACTACTTCATGTGAATCTTTCCCAAAAGACACAGCTTTCTTCACCATTTCCACCAATCAAATGCTCCACTACAATCAAGAAAATCCTCAGTATTTCAATTTCGACAATAACAATTGCTCCTCAATTGATAAAGTTTGTTTGTTGTACTAATCTTTATTGTTCACGTGATATGGAGTCCAATAAAATTAACAACAAACCCAACGTAATTTTATAAGTGAGGTCTAAGAAGAATATTGTGTATTTAGACCTTTACTTTAAGGAGATAGAGAGAGTATTTCAGATAGACCATCGGATATAGCTCATCTGACCCCAACTTTTTTAAAAAAAGTTATTTTTTCTTATATTTGTAGTTTACTGTATTTTCTATTGACTCATAAATATCATACGTTTAGGTTTATATTAAAAAGAAAAAAAAAATACCTAGCTTAAGTTGAAACTTGGAAACATCTACCTACGCGAACTGGAAAAGTCATATAGACGCCCATTTCAATTTCAATTTCAATTTTTGTCTCGTCTTTGTATGATAATTTCAAGGAATAATTAGCCACTTGTATGCAAGTTTTCAATTTGACTTCTTACACTGCCTTGTCCGTTACATACTTGTTCTCTTCACTTTATCTTGTATAGGGAAAAAGAAAAGGTTACGCTTTAATTTATGTAGTCAACTATTTTCTTCTCTTTATTCACCTTAAGGTCTAAGTTATTTTCCTTCTATTACTTTACCTGTGACAACTAGTAGTTGCTATGCAAAGGAAATCCCCTACTTAGAAATTGGTGCATCAGAATAGATATAAACTTAGAAATCCTTGTGGTTATAAGTTCTGATACATGATCAATTGTAATTTACTTTGATTCATTTGTCCCAATTTAGAAGCGATTTTCTTTGTATACGCAAGTTAGAATTTGAGTCGTACTTAAATGAAATAGTTCGAAAAGTGTGAATACAGTTGACTTTTTATAATTTTCTTCCTGGGAATGACACAATTTTTGGACAATACAAAAATAAAAGTAAGGCCAAAATGGTGATCATATAACTGAAAACTACGTGACATTCATTTTAGCTCTCTTAATTTAACCTTTCTTTATTCAACTTCTCAACAAAACACAAATTAAAACGCAACATATATATCCACGCACCTCCTAACAAATATAATACACGTACTGTAGAAAATATTTGAATTTCAGCTCTTCTCGTTAAAGGCATTGTCTGGTTAAAATAATAATACAATGAAAACGGAGGGTTTTTTAAAGGAAAATAACACCAATAGTGCTTAAGGGTTAAATATTTAGTTAGATTTTGTTTTTGTTTTCTGAAGAAAATTGAATTCCAAGTGGACAACAAAATAGGTCCTTTTCTACATGACAACGTGCCGTTCCCCTTAAAATGTGGTTTTCTTTAGTATTGACCTCAATGCTGCAATTTTCTTTCCCACTAGCTGTGAATAGTTTCCACCCTCTTGTTTTATTAAGATAGTATTTTCAAAAAAATTGTTTAGGCTTTTATCAAATTAATATCTGGTATTAGTTGTTGTATTTTGGAAATTTTTAAATACATAAAATCGTGAAAAATAATTTTTGAATTATAAAAGAGGATCTCCATGATCTATGTTATAAATATTTTTCCATATGCTCCAGATTAATTGTTTTACCATATTTTAAGCTAATCAAATCACTTTAACTTTTTTTCCCTCTATTTGGATTGAACCTTAGATCTCTTATAATTTTCTTCACACCCTTTAGTAATTATATTTACAAATGTGAAATTCACTTCTATTTAGAATAACACTAGAATTTCTTTAAAAGTAAACCTATCTTTACATTTGGATATGTTTTTATTAACACAGATTAAAATTCTATTATTTTAAGAGTCATGCCTAAATCAAATGACATATCTAAATTAAGAAGGAAAGCAATGAAACTTTTTCTTTCTTAAACAACTGAAGACTGTCTTAGAAGTTAGAAGCGACCAAGAAAAGAAAAATTAGGGGTCTACTTGTTAATTAAGATACTTTTGTTAATTGCTACGGTACCCCCATATTTCGTAGGACGGTATAGAGAAGTTCAAAAACTAATTAAGCTACGCTGGCACTTCCATAAATTCCTGATGCATAGGGAGAAAACGAAAAAAAGAAAAAAGAGGTCTATTTCCAAAATCTATATATGTGGGACACCACTCCAGAAACTTGCTATAAATATCCTTTACCTTTCTTTAAGATCTAAAATCTCAACTTCTCCTTTTCCCAATTTCACTTCTCCACCCTCTCTACCACACTCGCTTATGCTCCATTTCGCCGTTTCACCGTTTTTTGTTGTTGTGATCGGTCCTTTTTTTTAATTCTTTTCCGACCGGTACTTGAAAAACACAATAATGGTCGACGTAGACCGGAGGATGACCGGACTGAATCCGGCTCACTTAGCCGGCCTCCGTCGTCTCTCCGCCAGAGCCGCGGCTGCAGCACCCTCCACTCCAGTTCCTCCCCGTAATAGTCTCCTTTCTTTCTCCTCCCTTGCTGATAAAGTCATCTCTCACCTCAAGACCTCCGGTATTCAAGTCCTGGCTGGGTTATCTGACGTGGAGTTCGCCAGAGCTGAAGCTGAGTTCGGGTTTGCTTTCCCACCAGACCTGAAAGCGGTTCTCTCTGCCGGTTTACCCATCGGACCCGGTTTTCCTGATTGGCGCTCCACTGGTCCGGCCCGTTTCCAGCTTCGTGCTTCTATTGATCTACCCATCGCTGCTATCTCTTTCCATATAGCTCGTAATGCTCTGTGGTCTAAGTCTTGGGGTCCTAGGCCATGTGACCCTGAAAAAGCTATCAAGATTGCTCGAAATGCGCTCAAAAGAGCTCCACTTTTAATACCCGTTTTCAACCATTGTTACATTCCTTGTAATCCTCCTTTAGCTGGAAACCCTATTTTCTACGTGGACGAGAATCGGATTTTCTGCTGCGGGTTTGATTTATCAGATTTCTTTGATCGTGAATCATCTTTGTTCCACCAAAGTTCAGATCCTCAGATTCTCTCTAAACAACGCTCTCTAAGTGAAAAATCAGCTGGTTCATCGTCCAATTTTTCACGAAGGAGTCTCGATACGTTCTCCGGTGGTCGGACGCCGCGTTGGGTGGAGTTCTGGAGCGACGCCGCCGTAGATCGGAGGCGTAGGAACTCGAATTCGTCGTCTTCATGTTCGTCCTCGCCAGAACGGTACTTCGAAATGCCAAAGACGGAAATGCCGAAATGGGTCGATGATTACGTGGATAAAATCGGGTCGGTTTTGAGAGAAGGTGGGTGGGATGAATCGGACGTAAAGGAGATGGTACAAGTTTCAGCCTCTGGATTCTTCGAAGGGGAAATGATATTGTTGGATAATCAAGCAGTTTTGGATGCTCTCTTAGTGAAAGCGGATCGGTTCTCGGATTCGCTCCGTAAAGCCGGGTGGAGCTCCGAAGAAGTTTCATACGCACTCGGGTTTGATTTTCGACCGGAGAAAAAGGAGAAGAAACCGGCTAAGAAGCTGTCACCGGAGTTAGCGGAAAGAATCGGGAAATTGGCTGAGTCGGTAACTCGTTCGCGGTCATCATCATAGAATCGGTTTACAGGCTACCGGCAAACATCGAGATTCCTTTTCTTTTT